GGTTGAATTTTATGATCCTAAATGTCCGCCATTAAATCATAATACTAGATAGAAACATACTTCTCCCACGCAAAACGTCCGAGATATAATCGTCTATCCAAAGATATTAGAAATATTTGGAAGAACGTTGGATATATATATATATATACACATACCTAATGATCATTTCTAGACTAACCGCAAGATCGTTTTACCATAAATTACACGACCGCCACGAATGCCGAAATAGTTTGCGAGAGAATCTATGAACGGCTTGACTGGAAACGAATGTACCTTCGCAAGTATTTGCATTAAGATAACGAACTTTGAACTAATGAGCTCGTCTAATGTCACGAGGAAATAGTTTCGGAAAAGAAATAGCGATGGTTCATTCTTTTCGAAAAACTACAAGTAAAAAGTACAAAAATAAAAACCTGTTGCAAAAAGAAAAGAAAAAAAGAAAAAAAAAATAATCAAAACTAAATTTTTATTCAAAAGGAAAATTATTTTTCACTTGGTATAGGCGAATAACGAGGCTTGCAAGAACGTTTAAATGAACGTTAGGACTCTCTCCCTCTCGATTCGTCTTATAAAATCTCTTCGTTTCAACGGTCGTCGCTCGTTTTCCACCTCACGCTCGAATCGCCTTCTGCATACCTAAATATGTAATTAGCTCCGCGTATAATTTCACTTGGAGGACGGTATCGCGTTCCGCATAAACACCAACGGCCGATAAGAAAAGAATAGAACGAAGAGAGAGAGAGAAAGAGAGAGAGATGGAGAGATGGGGCACGTAATTAGACACGAATGACGCCTTTGCACATGTTACTACAAATGTGCAATCAAGTAAAAAGATATATATATATATATATATATATATATATATATATATATATATATAGAGAGAGAGAGAGAGAGAGAGAGAGAGAGAGATAGAATCAAATACGGAAAGTGTAGAAAAATCTTATCGGTTGGTAAGAAACCAATGAACCTGGACAAAGATGAAGAACAGAGAGAGAGAGAGAGAGAGACGAAGAATATAAACCATCGTTCCTAACGGACTTTTAGAATGTTTAATAAGCGACATCAGCGTGTCTGCGGCTTTCACAAAAGCGAAAATGTAAATTCAGCGTTTTCGTCGACAGAAAAGGTTTGCAGGAGCCTTCGAAGGGTGGAGAATGTTCCCTCTTGTATAAGCGGCATTAAAATTGCAAACTGTGCAATGGACTGTCTTCCCGTTCCTTCTCTCTCTCTCTGTCTATATATATATATATGTGTGTGTGTGTGTGTGTGTGCGTGCGTGCGCGTGTATATACATATCACCAATCTTCTTTATCAGCAATCAAACTTGTCTTCGGAAGTCTCCAAGTATTGACACGCGAATAACAGAATCGAAGGACGATACAAAACGAGAGCAATAAAAGCTGCTTATCTTCCAAGTTATAAATCGTAAGACTTCAATAAATATATCATGCACGCAATTCCTGTTATATCGGGAACTTTCCAGTTCATCCTCTTACATATGTTCGTCGATGATATTCCGGATATGACTGATAAACAGGATTAAATATTCTATGTTCTTCGATTACATATGAATTCATATTTCCTTCAATTCAATGTAAGGTTAAACGAACAAAGAGCGAATACTTCGTATTCGCATTGTATTTGTGTTTACGATTTTCACAAGATGCTGACGTAACGTGCTTATGCGCATTACATATGTATATAGATTTTGTAATCGATTAATAAACAAAGCCCACAAAAGACGATAATTTATTTTAATCGACTAGCGCATGGAAATATTTTACATATATAAAATACGAAGAACGAAAGGATTATCATGAAAGGATTATCGAGAAATTGTTCATCGAATAGCCGTGATAGTATTGCAGAAGCAAAGAGGGAAACTGAAAGAAAAAGACATATTTTGATATCAATATTGTTTCTATTACCTCCTTGAGATCCTTCGTAAACGAAACGAGCGTTTTTACGTCCGAGAGCTCTCCGAAACTATTCTTCTAATCCTGAATTATAAAGGGAAAACTTGCAGATAAGTTGACGCAACTAGAAGAAATTGGCCGGCCGGCGCCATATTTGCGTTCGCGCGTTCCATATGATCGTGCCGATCGACGCGACCTCTTGGCAACGCTATCTATCGGCGAAATGAAGAATATCATTAACTCGGAGAAACGATATTAAGCATGGCATTTTTTTTTTTAAATTTGCCGCTAGTATTGTCTAATATTACAGTTGACAAAAATCATACGTAATCGTTAAAAAGACGTGAACGAGCGAGAAAGACATTTGGCAAAATTTTCTAAAGATAAAATTCTATTATTATTGGATTATATCGCGTTCCATATTACCAACAATTGTTCGAAAGAAATGAATTTTTCAAATCCACACGGACTTTCTTTTTCGTCTGAATAAATCTTTCCTACCGTCGGTAAAATACCGATCGAATTCCTTATGCATCCAAAGTGTGATCGACTCATTCTCGATTTGCGCCGTATCTTGGTGCATCATGCTCTTGCACCGAGCATCAAAATCGATATATATATATATATACATATATATATATATATATATACATATGAGAGGTACCGAGAAAAACAGGGACGTTTTCCCTTAAGCTATTGCATGGTTCCTAGCTTGTTGTAAGCTTTCGTAACTGTCACGATAGGCGGTCACACATCTGGCTTCCGTTCGTTACTCTCTGCAGAGACTTGTGAACTATTCACCGAAGGTGCAAAGACGGTGGACAAATAACAAAGTTATGGAGGGAGTCGACGGACAATTACAAACGAAATATCAAAAGATGGCCACGGAATATTCGAAAGTGAGTAAATCCATATATTCCAATACTTTTGTTTACCATCCGTTAGTTTGGATCTCGTACGATACGTACGACGTATTATTTTCGAACGATGACAAAAATAAATACTTTACTTGCAGATTTGTGCTCAGGCGAACGTTTTAAAAAAGGCTGTGATCGATGAACAAACGCGTAATGGAGAAATACGAGAACAATTAAAGGAGAAAGAGATAGAATTGCGTAGAGCGGAGCAAGAAATAGATAGTTTAACTTTTCGCAATCAACAGTTGACCAAACGAATAACTGTATTGCAGGAAGAATTGGATAAAGAACAAAACAAATCTAGGAAAGGTAAAGGAAAGATATCGGATAACAATACTCAAGTAGCTACCTCGTCGAAACATATCTTGGATGAAGAAGTTCAAAAGAAGGCAATTGAAAATGCCAAATGGATGATAGAAATAATGGAAAGGAATTATGAAATTGAAGGTTTAAGGGAAACATTATATGAGTTGGAATATAAATTGGACCTCGTTGAAAAATCTAAGGTAGAATTATGTTGTCAGCATCGCAGAGAAATTGACAAGTTAGAGACGGAGAAAAATGATTTACAAAGAAAACTTCATGAGAAGCAAAGACAAGAAGAAACTATATCGTGCTCCAGTACGGAAGGCAAGAGGGAAGGACATGAGTGCGAACAAAGAGGAGCAGGAGTTTCTAATCAAATAGATAATACTTCTCCCGTTTCATCCCCGTCTCCCTCACGTAGATCGTCCAAATCTTTTAACGATGGTAAAATTCCAAAATTAACCGACGAAAGAAGCTATTACGAGCCCTCGAAATCTTATGATATAGAAAAAGAATTGCATCATTGGAAAACACAATATCACATCGTTAAGATCAAATGCGACGAGTACGAACGAAAAGAGCAAGAAACAAATAAAGCGGTTGCAAGGGAATCCCTTAATCCCGTGGAAATAAATAATATGGTTTTCTTTTCTTTCTTTCTATTTCAGAAACCTCATATGACCCCGATCGTCTAATGTTTCTTGGGTTATTCGCAGATTGGAAAATTACACGCGCCATTTGCATTACCCAAGGAAATAGAAGCTCGCGAAGCAAAAATAAGAGAATACTTTCTTGATGAGATAAACAAATTGATAATGGAAAAACACATTTGTCATGTTAAAAATTTGGCCATGGCTGCTAATGTTATTATTACATTGTTACGCTCTTATTAATACTCATATTTTAGTTAAGGTGCATAATCGTTTATTAAACAAATAATTTCCCTATGTTTTAGGACGAAGTGATGCACGCGCATTTAGATACGTGCGAATCGAAAAGAGAAAAATGCGAGCTGGCACTTTCGGAAGCCCTCTCCAACTGTAATACCCTGCAAAAGGATAAAGAAACGCAAGAGGGAAATTATAAAGCGCAGCTCAGTACAATGAGCGAACATCTTGCTAATATGAATGATAAGCTTATTTGTCAGACGGAGGAAATCCAACAATTAAAATTTGAATTAGCAAACAAGGTAAAAGGATATTCAATGCTTTGTCGTATCATATTCTTAACGCTCATCAGTTAACGCATTACGTTGCAGAACAATAGAAAAGGAAAACAAAAGTGATTTATACTTGGTTCCCGACCATCGGCATCAGAGGCATTCCATCGATAATATTAGTATAATATTCACATTCACGATAATCGTGTTCATTGATCAATTTAAAATTATGTATATAAATATGTGTGTGTGTGTGTGTGTGTGTGTGTGCGTGTGCGTATGCATGTGCGTGTAAGAAATTCATGCCAGATGAACAACGCCATTACTATCCTCATACTCAGATTTGTGTTATGCTATTTATGAAATCAAAAGAAAATATTGCTATTGAATATGTTCTTTGACAATATTATGTATGAAGTATTAGATAGGAAATATATGATATCAAAGACAACTTCTCTCAACAGTTTCCACAAGTATCTCAATATTTTTCAAATAATAATAATAATAATAATAATAATAATAATAATAATAATAATCCTATGTTGTACGCTTTATATATTATTAAATCTTTTATCTACAAAGGATAAACTTACATTTACAACGTACCTTCACGTAAGTTTCTCGTTCAGTGGGATAGCTACATACATGTAGTATATTTACAATAATAATCAAGATAGAGAGAGGTAATAAGATCGTACGTGAAATTGCAGAGATTTATAAGTTATGTTATGCATATAAGGTAGATCCCTAACCATTATCTAGCTAGAAAATAATATATAGAAAGAAAATTAATTCATTTTAATGGAAAAACTAGCACCACAACTACATCCCTGTTCCGCTAAAGGATTATTGATTATCCTAAATGCAGAACGTATTAACTCTGTATGATATTCTACAGTCGCCCCTTTTATATATTCTAAAGACGTCGAATCTATAATCACCTTAGCACCATCCTTCTGAAATATTCTGCAACAAAAATATATATCTATGTCACACTTTCCGCAGTTGGTCGTGGGCTATAACACATTCTTAACTCCTACTTATCGTCTTCGTGTATGCTTGAATCCAAATCAAATTTATATTGAAATCCGGAACAGCCTCCACCTTCTACGGTAACTCTCAAACATGCATTCTCGTTTGCTATTTCTTTTAGACGTTTCACACAACTATCGCTGATAATCAATGCATTATCGGTGTCAACAGCAGTATTCGAGGAGAATCCATTAAGTGACAAAGTCGTGTGGATATTGCACCATGGTGCACTGTGGATTTTTGACAAACTTTATCACCATAATAGATTTTACAAGAAATCTTTATTACTAAAGAAACGACTTATGATTTATGAATCTTCCTTCTTCAATTTCAAATCATGTAAATGTCGTCGTGCAAAAATTCGACAAGTACGAAATTTTTTTCATAATAAAAATCTAATTATGAAAAGGTTACGCGTTGAAGGATCACTTACGTTAATAAACGAGAAAAGTATCGGTTAGATGCAAAATTGGACGAGAGAGCCCAAACCGCGCGTCTCAGTTTCGCCATCTTTCTAACCTAAACGAGTTAGACGACGAAATCGATTTAAATCTTGGTTATGTATGCGACCCAAGAGCTAATGCTCGACGATAAGAGCTAACTTCTTAGACGTTAAACGCACGTGTTCACACCGAGAGAAAGTTTAATTGGTCGAAGAGGAAAAACATGGCTAACCTCACTTTTTATGCCACATCAGCGGGCGTTTTCAAATCGCGTATCATTTATTTAATACGATATATTACATTTTTTTTAAAAACGCAATGGATTAATAATATGAATTATTTGAGGATAATGTAAAATATGGAAAACAAACGTATTCATTTTTTTTTTTTTTTTTTTTTTTTTATAAATTTTCATTAAATACCGGCCAAATTAATGGTACTATTTAGATTAAAATACATTTGTCACTTGACAAATTCAATATGCGTGTCTTTAATCAAAGTTATACAATCGAGAATAGAAAACTTCCAATTTGGATTGAAACGATTGGATATCACTTTGTACAACGATCTTAACGATACGCATGACATATTCAGGTATTTTTCATACAATTCGATTATTAAAAAAATTATTTGACATTTCCAAAATGTAATTTCACGCGAAATTGCAACATATCGTTGAATATGTCGTTACCAAATGGAAAGAATACATTTTTTACTCTATTAATTTCTTTGCTCTGAAAAAACGTCTTAAATAAGCCACCTGCAAAGTAGAGAGTAATATAAGGCAAAATATAGATAATATACTTAAATACAAGACACGAGCATTGGTTGTCTCTGAAAGAAAGAAAATGAGTGTGTTAATATTATTTTTACATTTCAATTATACCAATCTCTTGATCTTGATAAATAAAATTAAAAATCTGATTATACCATTAGTATATCTCATTTCCTCTTCGTTCTTTCGCATTCGCGCAAAATCTTGTACTATAACTTCGGATAAATCTTCCAAGCGTTTTAATTCTACTTCCACAGGTTTCAATTTGGCTGCTTCAGCGATCTGGATTAATAATTCATATAAGTATATACGTGAACGTTCTCATTATGAAATTAAAACAGCTTTATATTATTAATTTTCAATGCGTTAATAACTTACGCCTTCGTAATTTTTCGTTTCAATGCCACGCTTTGTAACAAGCGTAATTTCTTGTTTCATACCACGTTGATCTGGAATAGTTTATATTAACAATTTGTGACATAATCCCGAACGAGTTATTATCATTTTGATACGTAATAACGCACAAAATACTATACTTATAACTTTGATTACTTACGACTTGGCACGTGCGAAATGAAACATACTTCAAAGGTATCCGCTGTTTCGGTAATAAATGAAAACTTTAACAATTTTGCATGTGGAATATCTTCTTTCTGAGAAAGTATATGTCCTTTGGTATCTCTGATCTAAAACATTACAAATTATAATATTACTTATGGATAAGTACTTTCTATGCATAAGAAGGTGCATGATCGTCATTTCGCAATAGCGATAAAAAAAAAAAGCAGCACTGCTGGAATAAACTGAATATATATTGTAGGTTAGTCTTATATAATCTATGAGCTTTTCAAGAAAACTTTTCAAGAAAAGAAAAGAGTAAGTACCACGTAATCAACTTTTTGACCCATTGCTTCGGAAACATCGTATTCTCCTGTAACCATTACATTTGCTTGAACATCTTCTTTTAAACACTTGTGAGTATTTGGTTCCAAGTACCAGCTGATACAGTTGACATTGGTTACCATTAAAATTAGAAGAATTATTCCAATGTTGATATTTTTCATTGTACTTTAGTTCTATTCGACGACAACAATAAACAACTTTCTCTTAAATAGTTGATAGTAAATCGATATTTTTCTAAAAAGATTATAACATGTATTGCTCGTTTGTCAACATTCTGATGAGTTGGCAGCCATTAGGAGTTATGTGGAATTTATAATAATGTATTAGGTCGCACCCCTATGTAACGTTACGATCGAGAAAAGACTTATATATATATATATATACACAAAAAAGAAATTCTCCTTAGCGTTACGCGCTATATTGTTTATTTAATATGTAACTTAACATCATAGGCCTCTGCATAATATCACATGAGAGTGGTAAATTGAAAATGTTTTTCTTTTTTTTCTTAAAAAAAAAAAAAAAAAAAAAAAAACAAACAAACAAACAAAAAAAAAGACAGAAAAAGCAAATTTGACTGTTGGCAGCACTGTTTGCGTTAGCATAGAAGTTCAAGCTTTTAAATAATTATAAACGGTGGTAAATGCATATGTTTTCAATAGGACGTACATTTATTTGTTGTCAGTTTGCATAGAAAATACCAAGTTTAAATTAAAAGGAAAACGAAAGAAAAAGAAAAACCAATACAACTATTGTAGAAACGATAAAAGTATTCTATTTAAAAATGTCATTTCCAATAACATTTTATTTGGTAACCAAACGAAGGTTCGAGCAGCTGATTGGTCATTGAGTTCATACCAACGTTAAAAAATTGTCTACAAATATTGGTAATACTAGCGAGCAGATCGTTTGGAAGGGTTCGTTCAGAGTAATGTGAATTTTCGAGAAATTCTCTTGAAGAAAGCTTGCATTTGTCAGTGCCTCAAAGCTCGAAGGATAATAGTTACTAAATGGCTAGTGGAGATGGATCGATTAAAACGCAAGATAATGATGTAAGAATTACATGTTATTGCTGTTATTAATAAAATTTCTTTCAGCGATTTGTGTACAAAAAAATCCTACATAGAAGATCTTTTTGTTATAGATGCCAGTCCCGAAGATCAAACATGATTGGTATCAAACAGAAACACATATTATTATCACGATCCTCGCCAAAAATACAGAAAATTTAAAAATTTTCTATGAAAAGACGACGGTATGTAAGACCATTATTTAATTATATATATATATATATTGCATATATGTATATGTCCATAAAAAAGTGTTGTAACAATTGTTAGCTAAGCGTATCTGCCAAGCTACCCTCTGGTAGTGATTATAGCTTGGAATTGGATCTGGCTCATCCGATAGTACCAGATCAATGTTCGCACAAGATTTTAGCATCTAAAATAGAGATAAAATTGAAGAAGCAAGATGGTATAAGATGGGCCATTTTAGAGGGAAATCCAGTTGATAAAAATTTGGTAGAACCAATACCTCAAGGTAAATTCAATAGTATTAGATTATCTTTTGATAAATTGATTTTGTGCATTATTCGATGTATTAAAAACTAATGATTTCAAAGAAATACTCCAAAGTGGTAATCAACCACCAAAGTATCCCAGTTCCTGCAAAAAATCCAGAGATTGGAATAAGGTAGAAAAAGAAATTGAAAAACAAGAAGCAGAGGAAAAACCTGAAGGAGAAGCTGCCGTTAATGCCCTTTTCCAACAGATATACGGCAGTGGTTCTGACGAAGTCAGACGTGCAATGAACAAATCCTTTGTAAGTAGAACGTTTAATAATTAACAAAGGCTACATGAAATATGATGAATATAGTATTGTGCACTTGTGTATTTGAAAATATGAAGGTCGTGTGATTGATTTGATTTTTTTTAATAAAACAGCTAGAATCAGGTGGTACAGTTTTAAGTACAAACTGGTCGGTGGTAGGTAAAGGAAAGGTAGAAAGGAAACCACCAGATGGGATGGAATGGAGATCTTGGAATTCATAAAAAATTTACTTACACACACACACACACACACACATTACTCTTGCAATTTTTTTGAGACTTTATAGAAAACTTCTTACTTGCAATTAAATTATAAGCAAGTTTAATTGTAAAAAAATTTCTGTATTGTGCGTATCCTTATTTTGATTTAATTTATTTATTACATAAGGAAATCACCTATATACATAGACGAAGCTTTATATCGTTTAAATATACTCCCGTTTAATACATTAATACTAAATTATAAAAAGGACTTGTAAAAGGGCGCAAATAAAATAGTTTCTTGAATTAGTATTTCAACCAATGCAAGATTTACCTCAAGTCTATAAAAAGTTCTGAAAATGTTGATAATTCTATTAAATACAGAATTAAATATTTAATAAAATAAAAAGAGAAATTAAATTATTATCATGATAATATGAGCAAGTGTGCCTAGTACTGAAAGTAACGTAGAATGAAATGGTTTAACAAGAACCAAGCTTCTTCAGAATCCGATTAATCCTTTTAGAATCCAAATGGCTGAAATTACATAGACACCCCATTTGTCAATATTCGAGTATCTATTCGTAGTTTGCGATTCCTCTTTATTTACTGTTGATAATTTTTCATCGACGTGTAGTTGCAAAGAATTGAAACATTTCGTAATGACAGATTTATTGTTTTCTTGTACCTCTGATATAGCTATCCTCATGTCATCTATTCTTTTATTATTATATATCGTTGAACATATTAGCGATAATATAGCGGCAATCATAGACGCCAATATAGATACATATTTGTACCTTTGAGAATTCATTGTTTGCGCATCATGATATTCCTTAATAGCGGTTGTCAATTGTACAAAGTAATCTTTTTCTTCCTCTTCCAATAAGGTTAGTTTTTCAGTAATTACACTTTGCTCTTGAAGATTTTTATTTTCCATTATTGTTAAACTTACATATTTCGGATCATCTCTCTTTATCCTTAACAATTCATCATATATTTCTTTCATCTTATTATTTATTATAAACGATTCTTTACGAAAATAACGTCTCTTCTCTTGGCATTTGTATAAATGATCTTGTATTAAAACTACTTGCTGTCTGCATTTCTCCACAGTATGTAGACCTACCAATTGTTGATACCATTGCCACCAAGTAACGAGTCTGTGTGGCAATGGTTTTTCTGGTTCCGTTGGAATGGCTTTCAAATCTTGTATAATGGTAGAATTATTGATACTCTAAAATTGTAATCTGTAATCTGTATCATGTAAATAGTATACCAAACATTCTTAACTTATATACTTACATTCGTAACTTGATTTCGCGTTTTCTTCATTGCATTTTTGAATATTGCATTTACATTTGGTACTTTTTTATACATGTCTCGTACATTTCTTAACTTAAAACTGTTTGCAAAGTTGAAAACTTTATGCTCATGTAACCTTTTGTTTATAAGTTTGATGAATTTTTCAATATTATTTGCCATTTTAATGAAAATATTAATGTACCGGTGCTTGGAATGGCGATTAAAAATTTATGAAATTGTTATGTCAAATTATAATGGTGGTTTTGCCATAAGACAAACGTTCCGATATGACTTATCAACTTTACATTGATCTTTCGCCGCGCCATCTGATTACAGGCAGATGGACTAAAACGTTTTAAAAACTTTTCTATATGTTAACGATTCTCTCGAAGATTGATAATAGTTTAAGATAAGATTTGGATGGATTAAGATAATATCGAACATAAGTTGCATAAATATTAGTTAAATTGGTGGCAAATACTGTCGTCGCGTAAATTTGAACGATCGCTAATTTTTCTAACTTTGGATTATAATGGAGTCGCTAAACTATCGACAATTTTATTGTACATGGCGTATCTTTAATCGCTGAATTATCGTTATCACTATCAATGCTGATAAACGGTGATAATGTTATAAGGAAAGAAAGAAAAAAAGGTTGGACTTTTAGCGTGCGAAAAGAAGATTTAATTGATTAATATTTCTTTATAAAATGGCAACCGGAGATGACAGACGCGTGGCACTAATCACGGGTATCACTGGACAAGTAAGTTTACACTTTTGACAGTTTTGTTTATCTGGTCATTTTTTCATGTCAATTATAAATCGTAATAAAAATTAATCGTTTCTATCTAAAATTTTTCTTTAGAATTAGAGATATTAGAGAATAGATAAATTTCATTATTAATATTTATTAATTATTTTCTCATTTTATAGGATGGTTCCTATTTGGCAGAATTTTTATTAGAAAAAGGATATGATGTCCATGGTATTATTAGAAGAGCAAGTTCATTTAACACTTCGCGTATTCAGCATTTGTATGCGGATCCTAAGTGTCATCGTCAGGGTAAAATGAAATTACATTATGGAGACATGACCGACTCGAGTAGTTTGGTAAAAGTAATCAGTTCCGTGCAACCAACTGAGATTTATAATCTTGCGGCTCAAAGTCACGTTATGGTTTGTATAATGTCAATTGTTTCTCATAATAATGGCCTGAAATTCATATATATTTCAGGCTTAATATTCAATGTCATATTATTTTATATAGGTAAGCTTTGAAGTAAGCGAGTATACCGCAGAAGTGGACGCTGTAGGTACTGTGAGGTTACTGGATGCTATAAGAACGTGTGGTTTAGAAAAGTCTGTAAGATTTTATCACGCGTCGACGTCTGAACTTTACGGCAGGGCAATAGAGGTACCGCAGAACGAAAAAACTCCGTTTTATCCACGTTCCCCGTATGGTAACTGAAAAAAAAAGAAATTATTCCGAATTACTCGCCTCGATAAACTCTTCTTCCATTTATTACTTTAATATATTTTTATTATTTTATTATTTTAATGTATTTTTAGCATGCGCCAAATTGTATAGCTTCTGGATCGTAGTCAATTATAGAGAGGCCTACAATATATTTGCTTGCAATGGTATATTATTCAATCATGAAAGTCCTAGAAGAGGGGAAAATTTTGTAACTAGGAAGATCACAAGATCGATAGCAAAGATACATTTAGGTTTGCAAGATGTTCTTGAATTGGGAAATCTTGATGCTAAAAGAGACTGGGGTCACGCCAAGGATTATGTAAAAGCGAGTAATTTTCTTTTCTCCCATTGAATATTTTAATATATTAAATCTAATTTAATCGAAATACGCGTTACAGGCAATGTGGCTTATGCTTCAGCAATCAACGCCAGACGATTATGTTATAGCAACGGGAGAGTCTCATAGTGTAAAAGAATTTGTAGAGGCTGCATTTCAATACGTTGGACGTACGATCAAGTGGGAAGGAGAGGGGATAAACGAAACGGGAAAGGACGCAGATAATGAAAAAGTATTGGTACGAATTAATCCGAAATATTTCCGACCTACGGAAGTTGTAAGTATCAAATAGAAATATTTAACAATATTTAAAATCGAAGGATTATATTTATATGAAATATTCATGATATAGGATGTTCTCTTGGGTGATGCGACTAAAGCAAAGGAAAAATTTGGATGGAAACCGACGATTACGTTCGAGGTTTGTTTTAATTTATCCGTAACGCATTTTAAATGAAGCTTCGCTTAATCGATCATCCATTATACTGTTGCAGGCTTTAGTTAAAGATATGATGGATTCGGACCTAAATCTAATGAGAAAAAATCCGAATGCTTAGTGTCATTTTATTTTAATCTAGATAATTACATAAAGGTATGAAAAACGTCCTATATATTTGCATATTGTGAAATATATGCAATAGCTAGATATAATATAAATAATCCACACGCCGGTATCACACACATTACTACTGCATTTCTACGAAGTAAGAATATTCAAATTGTAAGGTAAGAAATTTATAGGATTCTTTTTCAAGTATTGTACAAATTATACAAATTGTACAACAAACTAACTAGCAGGAACGAATTGTTTATATACGAAGTACATAGTTTTTATATAGAATCTACGTAATATAAGATACACAAACATTCATTTGATAGGAAAAACGCTTTTTCTTTTATCAAATTTTGTATGAGTTGCAAATGCATATGTTTGCGTGGGTGCGTGCATGGAACCGATGATGGCCGTTTTTATAAATCGATTTGATAGAGATGAAGGCTTTTTGCGAGGCCTTTACATAAACATAGGATATTTTTTATGAAAGCTTTACATACAATCTGTATGTACGCACAAACGGTAGAAGATATGCTGTTTATCACCATTTTATTAATTGTCTTCCACTCAAAGTATAATTGGCTTTCACGTCGTAGTTTAATTTGTACCTAATATATGTAATTACAATGTAACGTATTGTATACTGTATGCTAGCTTTGTTATACATTTTAGCCTTTGTATATACAAGAAGAGGAAGAAGAAGAGCAATGCTACGATCGAAGAAATGGAACGCGTTTCTTCTCGCTCTCTCTCTCTCTCTCTCTCCCCCCCCCCCCTCTCTCTCTCTCTCTCTCTCTCTCTTTCTCTCTCGAATAAATAGAAATAAGAGAAAATTAATGGAGGATTTACAAGGAATAAAAGTTTAACTTTTAGCCTCGGGCGCTGTCTTTCGTAAGATATTATCGATCGTGAACATGGTCGATTTAACGCAACGTTCCGAACCACTCGCGTAATCAATTTCCTTCTCCTTCTGTAGATCGTTATCTCTGCTTCCAATTTCGCACCATCTCTCGATCTTTCCTCGATCGTCTTCTATAAGTTGCAACAGTGATCTTCGTGATTCATCTTTGCTCTGCAAAAATGCTCGCTGTTTACGAGTTCTCCTACGTCTATAATTACCATGCTCGAACATTTCGTTGGCGGACGGATCGAGACACCAATAACTGCCTTTACCAGCTGCACCATGTTCCTCGTCCTCGTCGGGATTACTCTTGTCACGTGGTACTTTGACGAAGCAATCGTTCAAGCTTAAATTGTGTCTAATACTATTCTGCCAGCCCTGTCGATTTTCCCTGTAATAAGGAAACCTCTCCATGATGAACTTGTAAATACCGGACAGAGTCAGTCTTTGTTTCGGCGATGAATTGATGGCCATGGCTATCAGAGCTATGTAAGAATAGGGTGGTTTCTCGTAACGAGGCGAGGAATTTACTTTGTAACCGATCAGAGGTAAGGCCCAACAAGAGAGATGATGACGAGGGCTGTTCATGCTCGTCGTGGTTGACGCTCGATTAGTCTCCAATCTGAACATTTCTGGGACTCCGGTGATATTATAATATTCGGTTGGTAAACTACAGATGGTTGGTAGGATCTCTCTGGTCCAAAGATCGTTCCTGCCAGACAATTCGAGGAATCTTTGATTCCTCGCCGATAAAAAGGATTCTCGATGATAATTCCCATTTGGTTCCATCATTGATAACTTGATATATATATATATATATCTCTTGTACATCGAGCGCGCGTCAACGGACGTCGAAGAACGTCGGAGAACGTCGTAGAACTCGACGTGCCAGCACGTCGCTAGCGCGAGACTGCGTTTTCCGCAATCTCCGGCTCGTCAAGCTGATACTTCTAAGCTCTTTAGGGTCTTTAATTTGACAGGGAGAGATCTTAGAGGCTGGCCCAGCCCCGCCCATCGGCAGCTTTCCAAGGAACGTTCTCGTTTGGTGTTCGCTGACGATCAGGAGGAGGTGGACGCACCTCCGGATCGGTCCAGGAGGCTCACGACTAACATGTTTTATTACTGTTTACACATATGCTCTCCTAACACCCACGCCGCCAGTAACCGAGCCAATATGTAAACGCAGTCGTGGTAATTATACCGAGAAGGCGTTCGCTTTCTTGGAAACGCTCTTCTTCTTATTATTTTCCCTTGCGTCGCAAAAGGGGGATAAGGGGAGGGGGAAGGGCGACGTCGCTTTTGAAAAAATTTTCCAAGATGCCGACGACCTGTATTTTCCCTTTATTATTCTTCTTCTTTTATTACATACCCGATGGTTGCGATATGAAAAGAATTTGAAGAGACAAATTTGTTGAAGAAACAAATCAAAGTGGATATGCACGATGAAGGGGCCAACGTATTCGAACTATGTTCGGCATCTCCTCGAAAAACAGAGAGATAGACGAGGGAGCGCCTTGTCTCTTTTGAAAAAGCGCGACGATTTACTGCTCTCGTTTAAGCCGAGACCGATTTTAGACCATATCCCGAAGGAACCTAACGCACGGGTAGCTGTCGTTACTCATGCACTCGTTTCTCCCTTTCTTCTCGTTTCCATTGATATAGAAATTGAATTGCATTAAATCCTACGCTATCCTACTCGATCGAATTGCGTTTGATCGAAATCCTTGATTATTGATAGGATCTATAGGCGTCTGCCGTCTTGACTTTGGATTGTTGATTTTGCGACGTTTACGACTGTGAGAAAATTCACAGCGCGTAAAGTCTCTCTCTCTCTCTCTCTCTCTCTCTCTCTACCGCACTGATCCTTTCCTCCTTTCCTATTGATTTTCTCTGCGTCTTATCGTTATCCCAATTAATCGTTATCCCAAATGATTATCCAAAAGGCCTAAATTAAATTTACGTTAAAACAATGTTCGACTACGTTGTTAGGCCATTTTTTTAACATCTTTCCTAGCATCGTTCGTTGCGCAACTGTCTTGCTATAATCTGTCATGGTAATTGGAAAGTTAGTAAATGTAAAGACAGGTAGTCTGACTAACTGGAATCTCGACTTTAGCTTAGGCATATTTGCTAGGCATTAAAAGAAATGACAAAGTAAATATGTTTCTATAACCTCGCACGGTACCCCTATAGATTTTCTTTCTCTTTTTCTTTTCCGTACTTACTGAAGTACTGAAGAATTCGTGCAAAACGATGGATTATATGTACATATACGTTTATGTGTAAATGTTTAATCTATTCGTTTTCAGATATAATTTCCGGTTTACGGAATTTCAAGAACTTGGACGTTTCACGGACAATTATGCGAAAAGTGAATGATAGAAATATTCGTTTCTGGAATCCTGTTTTTCGATTAAAATCTTGACCGACATAAGAAACGAAAAGGATTACTTCAAATACTATATCAAAGATAAAGTGTCAATCCTTTTATTTTTTTACAGGTACATACGTCACGTTAAGTCTTTCGAAATTAATCATTAAGCATAATCATTATTTATAAAGATTATTAATTATACCACAGCGAAAACTCTGTGATTCTTTTTTTTTTTTTTTTCCTCTCTTTTTCTTTCATTTTTTAACGCGAAGAAAGTTACGTCTCTTTAATTGGAGAGTCAAGTATGTAGGTGCGAAAGTGAACCAGCGAATTAATACGATCATTTCATGCTCGGAGAAACTTATTTCACGACATTCGACAATGCGAACGTTTTATTTCTTCTTACTATCGAATCCTACCTACTGTATTCCCCGTAAAGCATAAATAAGGAGTGTCCTTTATGAAGAATAGTAAAAAAAAAAAAAAAAAAAAAAAAAAAAGAAAAAAAACAACAAGAAAGAAGAACGCCTTTAAAACTTAATCGTGAGTATAAATAGCGAAGAAAATTTCATTTATAAATTTTTCGATTTTTCAATTTTTAGTACGAGAAAACGATGTTGTAGGAATAATATCGTCCGTCTAATCGCGAAAAAAGATGTTAACAAGCGTAATTCGTGTTATACAACAAACGATTACGAAGTCGAAGAAATGAGGCACGTCACAGAAAAAGAAAATGAGAACTCATGTCACGAACGTCATTTACAAACATTCACTCAAACTCCCTAATGTTCTTGCACAACGTTCGGTCCCGGCTTAGAAAAGGGCTTGAATTTCGTAATGTCAAATGAAAAAACATTGTAAATCGTCGGGATATACAATGTTGTAATCATTAAAATATTGAAAGATGTTACCTTGACGGATAAACTAATTGCATTATCTCTAAATTAAATTAGTTTTTCAGCCAGAATCGTAAGCGTAATCACGATGACTTACAATTGTATTATAATAACGTTTCGATCGGCGAATTAGGTTTCCTGTCTTCTCGACGCGTATCCATCTTGTATTCTGGATCGTGGAGAGATTCTAAATTGCAAGACGATTCTCGTTGGCACATCGGCACATCGCAGAGAATAGATACGAAGGAGAAAGTGGTAGCTAGAGGCGTCATCGTTCGAGTATTTGGCTGTTGTACGAACGGTACGAAAAAAAAAAGGGGAAAAAAAAAGGAAAAGAAAAAGAAAAAAAAAAGAAAAAGAGAAGAGAGAAAAATAAAAGAAAGGAGAAAGAAAAAAAAAAGAACTGTCGATTTCTACGAGAAGACGACAAGACGATTTGAGAAACTCTCATGGAGATACAACGTTATCCATTATCTTTTAGAAGCTTAGCTATGTATTCCAATATATTATAGTACGTACAGGCACATGGGTATTTGCAAATACTTGCTCGAATGCATACAACAACCGCTTTTAAATGTGGACTTTATCAATTAATGACCTCGCGGATTTTGAAATGGCCTTTCTCTCTTTCTCTTAATGCATTTTGTCGAGTCACACTCGACGAAAGGAGGTTTCAGCACTTTCGATTTTCAAACGTATTTGATCGAAATCAATTGGAAAATAATTTTCGCTGGTCGCGAATCCGACGATTCGCATATTTTTTACAAGCGGGCAACAGTGCAGACTGTCGGGAAAGCTTGCGAAATTATAAATGTACGAGGCATCGTCATTAGCGAGATCAATTAGATATCGACGACGCGCTGACACGCGTAGAGGCAATTAGGAAGATCGATCGTGGTACGGACAGGATGCAACGATCGAGGTTGACCGATAACGATTCGCAAAGACGATGAATACGACGTTTTTTCTTCTTCGATCGTTTGTAATCCTTGGGGAAAAGAAAAAACAAAAAAAGAAAAAAAAATAGAAAAGAAAAGGAACAACAACAGAAAGAAGAAATTGATAAAAAATTCGATCTGAATAAAATATACTTATTAAATGGAGATTCATTTATTCCTTACATAATACATTCTCTAACCTCCCTATTTATTACGATCGACCAAATTTCCTCGGATTATATTTCTCGCGGTAACTTTCGCGGTGAGTTTACGCTAATAGTTACAAAATAGTTTCGTTTAGCATGTGCTTTTGTACGCACGTATCCGTGTACATATTCATGCACTTACATATGTGCGTACGAGGAAAGTATTTCTCCTCGCGTGAATGGAATGCTGAATTTGTGAAATTCTCATCGGTCGCGTACGTAAATACATGTACGCACTTTAAAATTCGAATGTATTTTTCGAAAAGAGCGCTCCTCGTGGCGCACATTTTATATTCATAAAATTTCAACATATACGAAAATTAGAGATTGGGCGTTTGCGCACGATCAGATATTATTAATAATCCTGCGAATAATTCTCATAGAGAGATCGATAATTACGACGAAAATGCAAAATAAATGCGAACTCGATGTTGAAACGACTCTGGGATATACGGCATTGAGTTTATACAAGATATTTTTGGCGAATTTTAATAGTCCGTTAGTTTGTAGTAACAGACGAATGGCTTGAAACAGATCGCTTTAGCGTCGTACCGCAGATACGCCTTAGAAAAGAAGAACTTTCCGATCGGCATGGCCGTTCAGCGAATAACAAAACAACTAACGAGAACCGATCTAATAAGAACTTGATCGGCTATTTATAATTTTCAATCGACCGTTAAATGAGTCTTATATTATCGTACCATCTTCGATATTGAGTCTAATTATCGAGAATCTAAAAAAAACCCTCGTACACGTTTCGATCGTTGTCGCAAATTTATGAACAACGCGACGAAATAATCGATCGATTGCCCAACTTGCCACCAGTAATATCGAGCAGCCCGCATGAGTTACGAATGAAAAAGGAAAATAGCGAAAAAATATAGAAAAAAAATGATTTCCTACTTCCTAGTTCGCGCTACGTTTATAGATTTTCTACGAGACACAACCAAGAAGATTCGAGCAGAAGATTCTTTATTACGCATGTATATTTTTTCTTTTTTCTTCCTTTTGTTTATTTTGCGAGTTCATTGGCACGTGGACATATGATAGGTACATACGTAGAGAGTTTTTCACTGCTGCAAATGACCGACTAAATGATTATTGCCATGTAAACGCGGAAAGAAAGTGAACGTTTCGTGATGTCGACCGTTCTGGAGATCTTCACTGCTTGAGTGTCCGTCATTAAATATAGATTATTAATAAAAGTTACGAGGGCTGCTAATTTAAAGCATCGTGCTTTCGTAAAAGTTCTCCAAATAAAGTAAGCGTTGCAGGAGTAAGAAACGAACGCTTTGACATAGCATCGGGAAAGAAAGCTAACGTTGTTACAATTATCAATAGGATATAGTAAAGACATAAAAAAGAACTTTCTCAAAGAAAATCCTTATATTTCAAAGTATAACGACGACTTGTTGGTTTTTGAAAGTGAGTCATAAAAAAAAAAAAGTGAAATCCAGTCTAATTCGTTTTGATACATCCTTTTCTAGCTTATAGTTATAAGGGTCTCATGCATAAGCGAACGTTTAATCGTACGTTTGGTCAACGAGTTAAACAATATCGAGAATTACCATCGAAAATATAGATCGATAGAGAAGATGATCGTCAAAAGTGTGTGGTCTTTCTCATATAGAAACTGAAGACGGTGAAAGGGATAGCATGACTTCCCACAACCCCGAATCGGAAGAAAGTCAAAGGATGCGACCGGTTCGGTTGTTTCTAAGCATATTGGAGGGAGTTAGACGTTTCCTAAGATAGCTTTTCTCTCCTTTTAACGCGATAGATGATGATTCGTTTTATCCCAGAAAATTGCTATTTCAAAATTTTAAGGAAGGACCAATCGGTTCTCGCCCATCGCGTCTTTAAATATATCATAGGTGTTAGTACGAGACAATTTAATTCTGACTCTCCCTCCTATTACATCTGATCTTCGTAGTCAATTGTGCAAGCAACGGCGGACTTTCGGTAGGCATATTTTCTAATACGAGAACTTGAACTTAACCCAAGCCTAATCGACCTTACGGTAACTAAGTTCCTACGTTAGTGAAAGCGCAATCTCTCGGTCGGCTATTTTTCTTATGGGATGAGATCAGATTTTTGCGATCGTTATTTCCTGTCCTTTTCTTTTTATTCTATCATTTTTTTCTTTTTTTCTTTTTTTTTTTTTTTCCATAACGACGACTCCGTATTTCCTCCCCTCCATTGAAAGAACGGAGGCAGGATTTTTAATTCTTTTTTCATTCTCCTCACATTCACACACGCGCGTTGTCTATCTACAATTCTCTTTGGCGGTCTAAGAAAACAAGAAACAAAAAACAAAAGAAAAAAAAACAGACACCTTTAATTGAACGGAAGCAGGTGCTTAAGAGAGCGTGGTTACATAAGAATAAAATAATAAATCCTCCAACGAAAAGGGACTCGCGTCGGTCGCGAGTCTCCTTCGCCTTGTTCCTTACCTCTACGAGGTGGGTAACGAGGACGTCTCGTCGTTGGATCCCCTCCAAAGAAGAACTCAGGATGTTGTAGCTTGGCTTGGAAGAGTTGGGAGTCCCGTATAATAAAACGCTCTTCCTCTATTTGATGCCCCTCCACCGTCTACTCGTCCACTTCTCTATGTGTGTCTCTATGCCTAGGGCATCTAGGAGCCTAACCGGAGAAACGCATTCGCTATAAAAGCTTCGTATGTCCGAAGAAATTTGTCAGAAGAGTGACGAACCGTAACAAAAAAAAAAGCAGCGCCAATACTCGCTGCTCCCTTTTAGTTCTTCGTCGCGAACGAGAGGACTCCTGGAAGTCGAAGATGTGGTTCGCACTGGTCAGTGTCCTTTCCCTCATCTTCATTAATTAAATCACGCGGCGTTGTTCCCTCATTCGGCTTCAATTTTACTCAATGTTAGATGTGTGACAAAGTGCGTGAGGTCAGTGCAATCCTCGTAGAACGATTCGGAAATGTGATTCGTTCTGTGTTCATTCTGTCCGAGGACCAAGTGCATTTTCTTCGTACGATCGATCGAACCCTTCGTTCGATCCGCTTGACGTTGTTGACTATTCTCTTAGTAAATTTTTATAGTCGTCCGTTCTGTAGCAACGATCAGGATAAAAAGTTAAAGCTTTCTCGATTATTCGAGACAAGTGCCACGAGTATCGTTTCTTCTCAAAATCCTGCATATACGTTTGCAACATGTATCAATCATTTATTATCAATCATTTAATACAGATTCGAACGTTCGAAGGGACAATTTTATCGTTCTGCTCGCTCGCATGATCCTTCGCGTGCGAGAAAGTTCGTTACGATAGGGGAAACACGATCGAATACGGCGTTTAGCTGTAAAAAAAAAAAAAAAGAAAAAGAAGAAAAAGAAAAAAAAATAAAAACTGCATGTCACTCGAGACAAAGTCGAGAATCAAAAATACATTAACGAACATTAAGCGTTCGTTGTACGCATCGTAGTAGAGATGATGCTGTCGTCGTGATGAAAAAAACGTCTCTCTAATTATTTCAGTTGAATGGATTAAGAGGTATCGTATAGCGTGTAGCCTGGCAAACGTTTTTGTAGGATCTCATGAATGACGTTCGTTAGGTAACTTATTTACTATATAGATCTTTATTATATAGATCTTTATTATACAGATCTAACGCATAGCCAGGGAACGAGCGATATTTCAATTAAATTGTAAATAGAAATGTAAATATAGATACGTCGATGAATCGTCGTACCATTCTCCGTTATCAGCTAGGTAAGTAGGTGTCCTCTCATCACTTTTCACTCGGTGAAATGGAAAGTTGCGCAAAAGAGAAAGAAATAAAAGGAAAAGAAGGCCACGAGAATATTTAGGAGGAATCCATGGGAATATTATAACGTCAATGAAAAAAAAGAAAATTTGAATTCGTTATTGCGATCTTCGGAGTGTCAGGGCGATCGTAAATCGATTATGATCCATGTAATTCGTTATTAGATCGTAAAACGAATATCTTTGGTCTTGTTATCGATAATAACCGATACCTGTTTACTTCGTAACGAATCTCGTAATAATAATCTACAGGAGGAGCAAGAAAAGAGCCGAACGTAAGACGAAATTGCGCTCGAGGATAAAAATGAAAGGGAGAAAGAAAGACAAAATCATGGCGCATACTTTCGCTTGGTCCAACCTAATGGGAGTTTCACGTTCCTCCGGCTGTGAAGAACAAAAAAAAAAAAAAAAAAAAAAAAAGAAAAAAAAGAGAAAAAAGAAAAAAAAGAAAAAAGAAGAAGAAAAAAAAAAGAAAACACGAGAGTAGCGAGGGTTCGCTCGACCCAATTTCCAGACTTTCATTTTTGAATGACGCGCTCATAAAATCGCACAAGGTATAGAAATCCGCGTGTAACATCGACACGCTTAATGTCGACTTCTCTCGGTGAAAAGTCGTACGGTGTTAATTAAAAATACGCGGTGTAATAAGCCGAGCGATTATCGTTTCCCTTCCTCTAATCTGCATTTATAATTGAACGATCAAACATTTGCCGTTGCTTTTTCATTCTCGTAGTATCAACAACGCAAACTATTATCGTGCGAAAAGCGTCTTATTATTATACGGCAACACGTCGATTATGTCCATGCGCGTAACTACTGTCGAACTGCCGTGTAATTGACCGTAAAACAAAGGCTTTATCCTTGACGAGTCCAATACCTTTACGTATATTATAATTCTGCGTGCTTTCAGATATTGCTTGGCTCCCTTTTCGTCGCCTCCACCAATGGCGATCCAATCAGAACGAAGAAAGAGTAAGTTCACGTAAAAATAATTAATCAATTAAATTGCGCAAACAACGAGGAGTCATACATCAGAGAAAAAGATACATTTTACCTTGTAGTAATCGTAAATATTTTTAGGGCACCACCTAGTCCACAGTATGGCCCGCCAGCTACTTCTTACGGAGTACCGAACGTAGGTCCTTCGGATTCGTACGGTGTTCCACCAGCACCATCGTCGTCTTATGGTGCTCCATCTGGACCATCCTCTTCTTACGGTGCCCCGTCTGGACCATCATCGTCCTATGGCGCGCCATCTTCCAGCTACGGAGCCCCATCCTCCGGGCATGCCTCATTTGGGGGTGATCACGGATCCTTCGGAGAAGCCGATCATGGATCGTTAGGCGGTGGATCGTCCGACAGTGGTTACGGAGGTGATCATGGTTCGCTAGGCGGCGCCGGCGATGGCGGTTTCGGTGGTGATTTTGGATCGTACGGAGGAGGACATCACGGGGCTGGAGGAGGCGGCGGCGGTGGTGATTTTGGATCGTACGGAGGAGGACATCACGGGGCTGGAGGAGGCGGCGGCGGTGGTGATTTTGGATCGTACGGAGGAGGACATCACGGGGCTGGAGGAGGCGGCGGTGGTGATTTTGGATCGTACGGAGGAGGACATCACGGGGCTGGAGGAGGCAGCGGTGGTGATTTCGGATCGTACGGAGATGGACATCACGGGGCTGGAGGAGGCGGCGGCGGTGGTGATTTTGGATCGTACGGAGGAGGACATCACGGGGCTGGAGGAGGCGGCGGTGGTGATTTCGGATCGTACGGAGGAGGACATCACGGGGCTGGAGGAGGCGGCGGTGGTGATTTTGGATCGTACGGAGGAGGTGGAGGTGGAGGAGGATCTGCGCTTGGTCCCATTTACGGTCCACCCTCGCAATCCTACGGTCCTCCGGCGGCCTCCTACGGTCCGCCTGGTCACGATCAGCCGAAGGGAGTATGGAAAAAAAAGCTCACGTGGAAGGCCGAATGGAAGCAGATATGGAAAACGGAGTCGAAGCTAACGTGGAAACAGGAATGGAAAAAGGTTCAGGTACCAATTTGGAAGGAAATACAGGTGCCAGAATGGAAGGAAATTCAAGTGCCAGCTTGGAAGAAGGTACAAAAGCCAATTTGGAAGGAGATCCAAGTACCCATTTGGAAGGAGATTCAGGTACCAGCTTGGAAGAAAGTTTGGAAGCCTGTTTGGAAGGAGATACAAGTACCAATTTGGAAGGACGTTCAAGTGCCCGACTGGAAGAAGATTTGGATACCAGAATGGATAAAGATCGGTATTCCCGGGGAACAATACGTCGGCAAGGATCAACACGGTTGGCAATATACCAGTCACGATCTCTGGAAGAAGAAACTCATTTGGAAGCCGATCTGGAAGAAAATTTGGAGGACCGAGAAGAAGCAAGCTTGGGTTACGGATAAGAAGCTCGAATGGAAAGCCGAATGGAAGCAAATTTGGAAAACCGAAAAGAAACAAGTATGGGTGACCGATAAGAAACTTGTATGGAAGGAAGAGTCCGTACAAGTTTGGTTACCTAAAAAACAACAGATTTGGGTCACGCAAAAGAAGCAGGTGTGGAAGGACGAATGGAAAAGCAAGTGGGTACCGGTTTGGAAGAACGTACAAGTACCGGCCTGGAAGAAGATTTGGAAGCCCGTTTGGGAGAAAGTTTGGGTACAAATAGAATCTCATCACGACGGAGGCCACCATGGTTACAAGTAATACGATAATATTAACGTAGTCGTTAGGATATCAAAGTTAACTTCGTAGTTGACTTTTTCTCCAAAGTTCGTAGAATGTGTTTCAATTATGGGTCGATAATTTCAGGCTCGACGATAGCTCCCTGTTAGACGCGATTATGGAATAACGAATGGAATAGAAAGTATAGTGTTTCGTCGAAATAAGAAGGACAGAGAATAGTTTTGGCTCGTGATATTCCGTAACTTCATTATTCCGTAAATGTCGAATAAATATCAAGACTTGCTCCGCCCCCCCCCCCCCCTCCACCCCTCCACTGTAAATAAGGTGATTAAAAGATTGCAAGCGCATCGATATTTTTGTACGTTTTGCGTTTACTATAATCTAATAAATATTTTTTTTTTTACCACGTGTACGTCTAATCGATTGATATCCCGAATAGGCCGATGATCCAGTTGACGAAACTTTCACTTTGTACATAATCAGTTTGGATTGTTCCAAACGATCAATCTGATTAATCCAGACGAGGAAGAGAAAAGGGAAGAAAGGAAGAATAATATTCTTGGGAAGGAAGAAAAAGAACGATTGTTTTTTGAAGTTTAAGCAAGTCTAATCGAATGAAGTCGGTAATAAGTAATCGGTAGTAGCTTTCCCGTTCATTCGATGAAAGTGCAATTTTCTAGGCGACGGAATAGGATTATCGCAGGAGGACAATGGAAAGGGAAAAGGAAGATGCTTTCCAGGGAAGCGTATATGCAGATGTCAGGGTCGCGAGACGGACTCACGACCTTTACTTTCTCCGTGATCGCGTTGGAGTAAGTGTGGGATGATCGAGAAATAAAGAATCTACCAAGAGAGAACGTGGAAGTCGGTGGGAGAACGGAAGTAGCACGACCGGTTCGTCTTCTCCGAGGTCTCCTTCCGAGTTTCGATGCAAAAACCAGTATCTATTAAACGCATCGAAGAAAGTGGATGGCGTTTTCGAGTCGACGAAAAAAAAAAAAAAAAAGGAAAAGAAAAAGAAATAATCTCCCCTAATGAATAAATTAGTTGTACGATAGATGAACATATGTTCAAATCATGTACGATGAGATGCCTCTTATTAATCAAGACGAAATCTTTACAAGTTAAATCCTAATTAAGAGCTATCTCCTCTTTTTTTCTCATTTATTCCGTTTATTTACAGGATCATGCCGAAACTAGGTTAGATACTTTGTTAATTATCAACTTCATTAATGGTTCCGTGCATTCGATCTGCACGTTCATCCATCGCCTTCGTCTCGGACGATGATGAGATTTTATCTCTTTGGCAGAGAGTAACGCGTAACTACATAAATTATACAGTAGAAAATACAAGTTGATTTATGGATGTCTATATTACTTACTACTTTGAGGTATTCCAATATGATTTACAAGCGGGAATGCGATTTATATAAACTTCCGACGACGAAAATAACGGCGCTTCTTGTATCTGCTTGCAAAGTGTAAGGACGTTTCGAGCGATTGGTAAATACCTGTGTTAATAATAAATAGAGGAAAATAAGCATAACTTGAAGAATTTACTGCAAAAATATCTTTTACGAATATTTTCTATTCGATGATCGTATTGAATGGCGTTCGCTTCGAATACAGCAAGCGAAAATGACACTTGCGATCGTGCGTAGAGCAAATTTAAAAGTTATTTCCCCACCACGTTCGATATATTATTGCTCTAACGTTTACCACCACCACCACCACCACCACCACCACCACCACCACGTATACTTTCCCAGGATCTTTCTTTGTATGACTTTCTAGCGTTTAAAGTAGGTAGTGGGACATTCGTCAAAGTTTTTCCCTCTCTTCTTATAAACTACCGTCTCCTCTCCATAGAGTTTCGTTCATTTTAATTATTACAAATTAATCGACAATTTTAGCTTTTCCTTGTTTCAGAAACGTTCTAGTTTTAATTAATTAATCCGACCAATTTTACATTGCGCATTTCGTTTCGAACGTCGTTTATAAGACGAGTTTTCTGCCATCGAAAGTCGTTAATACTTTATGTACGGCACACCATAGCCCATGAAGACTTATATACGAATGCCGGTGTTACTCAATAGAAAGCGAAACGTGCATATGATAGATTTATAACCGAAACTTTTAGACTATTCTCGGGGCTCTATGGGTAAGCTCTTTGAAATCGTCAACGTGGTCGAAGTATCAGCTATGAAAATATTTCGATGTTGGTCAATTGTCGTAGGTTATGCAGAACGCGAATAGCCAAGGATTGTCTTCATAAAGTAAGCCCGAGACTGGCAAGGCCACTTTCACGTAAATATATACAGGCAGAAGAGACGAGCATGTGCGCACGTTTCTTTCCTTTCCTTCGTTTCTTTGTCTCTCTGATCTCTTCCATCCGGTTCCTTTATCCAGTGGCTCTCAATTCTTTCCTCGACTAGAATATCACAAAATTCTTATAGCTATTTTTTAATTATAAAAATCGATTTAATAGAGGACCTTTAATTAGATCGCAATAAGGATTACACCTAACGGAGTTAGGATGTAACGATCTTTTGACTCTGATGGCTCGAGTGACTCTAACGGAATCCGTTAGGCATACCTATATGAAGATTTCACTTCTTAGGTCGCGTCGTTGATCGTAGATCTTAATAAATTTCACTCTCGAAAGGCGATAGCACCGAGGATAGTTATCGGTACATCCTTGTACCGGGTTCTACCTACATATCCGTATGTAAGCGACTCTCGCTCGTTACATATAGCGGAAGTGTCTGCACCATTGATATCTTAAAAAGGTCGAAAACCTGCTCGTCACGTTCATTTTCTTCTTATTCCCGTGCCTCTTCGTACTCTCCTTTCGGAACACAACTTCGCGATTCAACAAGGATATACGTATGTATATACCTTTCTCATCCGTGACTTTCCCGCGGTGGACGACCCGCGGGGGCAGGGAGGGGCATAGATAAAAGTAGAGAAGCATCGAACCATCTGCGTGGGAAATCCTTTTATATATTTACGAAATAACGTGAATGAAAAGAATGACATAGAAAAATTCACTATTTTTCTAAGTTAATACGCACGCATAGTTAAAAAAAATCTTCTCTATTATGGCAATGCCAGAACTCGGTAACGATTCTTCGGGTAAAACGTATATTCTACCATAATGACTTCCACTATCCTCGAGAATACGTTCAGGATCATAAAGCTGTTTATAATGAGGAAAGTTAATGACAGACAATTTAGATGTTAGCACGTCCACGTTAGCGCCAACCTTAAATCTGTCAGAAAAATTAGTAGGACATACGAATGTTTCTTTTATCTCTCTTTTTTCTTTTTCTTTTTATCGTTCTTATAAAAATTCTTGCGATTTTAAATATGATCGATCGATCGATCCATCTACAACAGTTATTTCTTTAATAATTTCGTTCCTCTTCGATCGTATCTACGACTACATATATACGATCAAAATGTACGTAATGCGAAGAAGAAGGACTTGGTAGGAGGGAACGGTATCATCGGCACGCTACGATAACAGACGGTTATGGTTCAGTGCCGGGCTCTTACATCAATTGCCCACTTGCACTTGTTACTTTCACTGAGCAACTCTTCTTTTTACGCCGAAACGGCCGGATGTTCGACTTTACATCGGGCCGCATGTACACATAGCCACGTTCTCTATTTAACGTTTGCGTTCGAGCGTTCCGTTGAGGCTAAATGCCAGAACGGAATCAGCCTAACTCCTTTAACGCAAGAAATGATGTAACGGTAAATTAGCATAGGTCCTTCAAATTATATAGATTAATAATTATCAAGCATTACTAATACGCGGTATGCAAAAATTCTGATCGTTCGATTTAGTTATCGTACGATGTTAGATGACGATTGTTCGTACTTTTGCTCCATGGGAGGGTATTTCCAATATCGAATCGATGAAGACGTGTCTAGAATAGATATTTAAGAATGAGTACAAACTATCCTATCGATTAGCCAATACGGCGTTCTTTCGTGTTTATAGTAGTGGACCAGATTCCAGTAGTCTTTCGACTACGTCACTTTTGCTTTCGTAAGAAAGGATCACGAGTTTTTCCCTTCGACTCGACCCAAATATTAAAGAAGAAAACTTTCGAGAGCTTGTATAATAAGTATTTCAAAGGAACCGAACGAGAGAGAGAGAGAGAGAGAGAGAGAGAGAGAGAGAGAGAGAGAGAGAGAGAGAGAGAGAGAGAGTGGTACTGGGCCTTACGTACGTCAAATAGGCCCCTCAATATGGAATTTCTAAAATACATATCGATCTAACTATTTACCGTCACACCTTTGACACCTTTCAGATATTAGATAGATCGTTTGTGAAGGAGGATCATTCTCCTAAAAATAAGAGGGGAAAAAACCAATGATTCTGCTTCTTTTGCGCTGTGTAATAATGGAAACCGTGATCCGTTCGCCCACATATTACCTGGATGAGTTTCTTCGAATAAAATCAAGATATATCTTAGACGTAAATGTATATTTGAATAATTCCTATTTCGAACTTTCCGGAAGTGTTGATATGGGTCACGGTGAAACGTTTCTCGGTATGCCTATTGCTCTCGCGTGTCTACCTTTGGAAATCTGGAGCGATCATGTAATCGTAGCGACTGATGAAATCGTTATAACCAACGATACGTTTCGTTTTTGGACGAGACAATTGTTCAAAAATATATATAAATATATATCTACGAGATTTTTTAAGCGGAAACATATAAGGCAGAAACTCCAACGAGAAGAACCGAGTGAAGGTCGTTATTTGTGAAATAATAACAAGACGCTTTTAGATGAATCGTCCGCGTTGCGTTTGCGATTATCAATTCATTAGTAATGGTTCAAGTATAGCACATATACGAATAATATTGCAATTTTTATGAGAGTGACGTTCCTAATCTATTAAATTCTAGACTTGAAGCCATCATCTTGGAAGAAGAGAAAAAGCAATTATTGTCCGGTCCAGTTTTGGAACCGAGAAACTTTGCTTGCGAGACCAATATTTCAAATAATAAAATCCAAGAGACAACTCGGGACGAAAATAAATGTTCCTAACATTGATAGCTTCGTGACCACGAACGTACATCCGGATTCATTTATGTTCTCTCAGTAAGCAATAAACTTGACCTAAAAGAAAAGGAAAGTAAGAACAAGAGCGATCGCTCTAACATTTGGAATAGCATTTTTTAAACTATAGGTTACGAGTCCCTAATCAATTGGTGCTTTGATGATAATAGACATTGGATTGGAATCGTATAATCATCGAGAAAAAATCGATGAAATTTTCGATAATATCTCGAAACTTTTCATGTTTCCCCAAAAGTCAGGAAAGCTCGGAGAAGAAGAATCTGGAGCAAGAGGCATATAGCCTTGACGCATAACCTTGCTCCGTGAACTTCGACGTCATGGTCGAAAGTACAACTGGTACTTGTCCGTGCTCGAATAAGTCATGGCCCGTTAAGATCGGATCGTAGACTCCGATCACTTTCTCCGACCGATGGCCTGGTCGAGGACAGGCAAAGAGGAAGGCAGAAAAGAGGGAAGAAATAAATAAGAGGAAAAGAAGAAATTAATAGATAAAAAAAAAATATCGAAAGCAGGTGGACCGAGAAAGAAGGAAAAGGAAGGTGAGTTTCAATCACCATCATGATCAAGACTAATACAAACATGGACAGAGTCAGGTATACTAGCGGAATCGGCGAGTTCAGGACAGTCAGACTCGAGAGTATCTTTTTCTCCACCCAGGTGAGTCCACCTCCACCGTACTCGACCAACAGCCCCACCGCGTCTCCAATTGCCACGACTTTCCGCTTTGGCTCCTTCCTTCTGTCCCCGGGGGAGGATACGCGCCTATATAACTACGGCGTTCCACTGATTGGACGAAGTAAGCCACGTTTTCCAGCGTCTAGGGAAGAAGAGAACGCAGCCCGAGTCCAACGGGCGGCACTCCAAGAAATATGAGGATTCGCCCGGGATGCGCGGTCAGTGGGAACAAATTCTTTCTTCTTTTCTTAATCTCTTATTTTCTCGGTTTGGTTTCTTTAACTTCTTCTTCTTCTTTCGCCTCGACATTGATGATTATTAAGTAGCGATTATAATCAGAAGATGCCGATCTTGGTCTAGTTTAATCGAATTCATATATATATATATATATATATATATATATATATATATATATATGTATATATATATATATATATATATATATATATATATATATGTATGTATGCCGTTCGATTAAGAATAATAAGATGTAAATATATATATCTTGTATGTGAAATTCGTTGTCGGTCCGGTGGGACGAGTCGATTAAAGAATGATTCAAATTCTGTTAACATTTTTTAGCGGAATTAATTTTCTACTGAGCGCGCTAAAAAGCGAAATCGATTTAACAGAAGGAATTATAGTTGATTGGTTGTCATTGATTATCGTGCGTCAGTGAAATTCGAAAGTTCTTTAGCGTGTTCGACAGGCCCTTGCGATTTCACTAGCTGAACAAGCTGTGAAGGAACTAAAAAGAATTTTTCTGATATGCGTTATGTGTGTCGCTTCTACTTCGGATAAAATTGAAAACAATGCAAACTAAGTATTTACCGATCCTCCGTGTCTGAAAGTTTCACAATAAATTATTATGGAATGAATGCCATTGAAGTGGATAGACTGATATCTCATAGTGAAATTCTATAATTTTCATGTAATTGCAACGTTTCCAGACTGCACTAGCAGTGCTACTGCAGATCGTTCTTGTGGCGGGCAAGGCTTTGGAGCAAACGCAGCAAATACAGTTACAAGTGCGGCAACAACAGCAACAACAACAACAACAACCGCAGCAAGTCCCGTACGTATATTTCAATACTTTCTCGAATAATATACTGACTTAGAATGAGCCAATAAATGTGTGTACACTTATTGGCTTCATTATTATTATTATTATTATTATTATTGTTGTTGTTGTTCTTGTTGTTGTTGTTGTTGTTATTAAAAGAGGAAAATGTTGATACACACACGCGTGTACGCGCGCGCACACATACACACACGCACACGCACACACACGCAGGTACGGTACAGCGGCTGAGAAACGATTGGCCGATTGGAACGGAGATGCCGGGGGTCATTATGGCGGAGATGATTATGGTGGTAGTTTAGCTGGTGGAGATTACGGTGGAGATGTCGGAGGTGGTGGAGATGACGTTGGGGGAGCGATCGAGGAACACCACGTGCAAGAACATCACGACGATCATCACGATCATGGGTACTGGAAAAAGAAATTGATTTGGAAAATAGGTTGGAAGAAAATTTGGAAACCAGCTCAAAAACAAATTTGGAAACCTGCGTGGAAGAAGATTTGGAAGCCTGTTTGGGAGCCGACAAAGAAAGCCGTTTGGAAGGAAATCCAAGTACCAGCGTGGAAAAAGATTTGGAAGCCAGTATGGAAGGAGATACAGGTGCCAGTGTGGAAAGAAATTCAGGTACCTGCGTGGAAAAAAATTTGGAAGCCTATATGGGTGCCTATCAAAGTTCCAGCTTGGAAAGAGATTCAAGTGCCCGATTGGAAGAAGATTTGGAAACCCGTGTGGAAGGAGATAAAGGTGCCAGCTTGGAAGGAAATTCAAATACCGGCGTGGAAGAAACTTTGGATACCGGAATGGGTGAAGATCGGTATACCCGGTGAACATTATCACGGTACGGACCATCATGGCTGGCAATATACCAGTCACGATTTGTGGAAAAAGAAACTGATCTGGAAACCGGTATGGAAAAAATATTGGAAACCGGCGAAGAAACAAATATGGATACCGGACAAGAAGCTCGAGTGGAAGGAAGCATGGAAGCAGATTTGGCGACCTGCCAAGAAACAAATCTGGGTCGAGGACAAGAAGCTCGCGTGGAAGGAAGAATGGAAACAGATATGGAAGCCGGACAAGAAGTTGATTTGGGTGCCGGACAAAAAGTTGGAATGGAAGGAAGCTTGGAAGCAGATTTGGAAAACGGAAAAGAAACTCGAATGGATACCGGATAAGAAATTAGCTTGGAAGGAAGCATGGAAGCAGATTTGGGTACCAGCTTGGAAAGAAATTTGGGTGCCCGCCTGGAAGAAGATATGGAAACCGGTATGGATATCGGAATGGTTCCCTAACGAGGATCACCATCATCATCAGGGATGGGCCGATCGAAAGGACAGTCAAGGACAGAGCTCCCAAACAGTCCCACTTAGTCCCGAGTTAGTCGCAGGAAATCAAAATAAGAGCGAGCAGGAACAGCTAGTCGAGAAGAATCAAGTTAGGTGGAACAGATCCTTCGAAGGGGATGTTAAGTCACCGGCAGAAAGTTTGTTACCACCTCCTATTCCAACGTCGAATCGAAACGCCGTCCCTTCCAACTTTACCTTTCGCAATCGTTGATCCGTCTTGAAAGCTCTGATGCGAATGGACCAACTCGTAATACCTGTACAAATATTTCACTCTAAGAGTATTGTAACATATGTCCCTTGTGTATATATTATCTTAATAAGCTTAATATAAGCTTAAGATATCCCTTCGAGGTACTTCATTTTGTTTCTCGTTTTGACGCTTCAGGGAATCTTATCGCTCTTATCCTTCTTTTTCTTTCTTTCGTTTTATACCAATTTCCTTTTGTTGTATTATCGTTTTCCTTAGTTTTTTATTTTCTTTTTTGTTAATTAATGACGTTACGAATAAAGTTTATGAATATTTTGTTAATATCCCTATAGTTTTGTCCCTTTTTAAGGTTCCTTTTTAAGATCGCGTCACATGATGGTATGATATATGTAGACGACGTGCTCTGTATATGACGCAACGTGCCTACGAGGCACGCACTCCTGCGCGTCCGATACCTGCGGGTGAAAGTAGGCTCCGTTATGGTGGAAGGAGCCTACGTTTGTTTCGTACATGGAAGAAGAAGTCCGTACTCTCCGGTGAAAGTATTCGGCGCCCACGCTTCTTTTCTCTCCAACGATTGTATAAATTAATTACTAGCATAGAACCGCACGTTTCTAAAGTTTTAAACGTCGGTTAAAAATAGAAGCACATTAATGTATAGTAATGCGACATTAGCGAGAAAGAGGGAGACACAAAAGACTAGATTCCATCGATCACGATGGACCGATTGAGAAGATAAAAAGTGAAAAGCCTACTTTTCACTTTCATCGGCTTTCCTTATATATTTCCTAGGTTAGAGAGTATTTTCCAAGCAAACTTGTTTTTTCTTTATTCACAATGCTAAAATAGATAATTATGAGCGATTATAGTTGACGAACGAAGAATATCAGCTGTTAAATATTCCGGAAATGATAAAAAAGAAATCACTAAAAAAGAGATAAAATGATCTAGAATTTCATTGACTTCATTATTTCAACATGAAATTTTCGCGTAGAATGTTGTAATTCTTTTCATTGAACGCAGCGAAGTTCCTTGTTAAACAGAATCGATTCTAAAGATCTAAGAATAAAGTAAATATCGACAATTAACGGAGCTTGCTCGCAAACCTGAACAACAAATGTAATTCATGATTATTAATTTCACCCAATATTACGTTACCTCTCTTCTAAAATTATCTTATCGATAGGATTCATCATGAAATATTTATACTCCTTTATACGATTACAGTCTTTTATGCCGAAGCAGGAAACTTTACATATATTTTAAAAGTAGAATAGCATTTGTCAAACGTTTTACATAGACAAACATTTCTTTTGGTTCGCCGTTAAACTTTTGTAAGAGTGAATAAATCAATTTTTTTTTTTTTTTTTAATAAGAAATGAGCAGAGACTATATTCGTCTAATATATTCGTCTAAGGTCACAAACACATCACCTTGATAGCATCGCAGAGTTCAGTTGTATTTGTTCTCTGTACACATAGCTATATGCGATATTCCTTTTGTAATGTATAAATATAAATATAAATATAAATACATATATATATATACATGCGTGTATGTGTGTGTCTCTCTCTCTCTCTCTCTCTCTCTATATATATATATATATATATATATATATATACATAGATCACAAAGAGAACAGTACCGTCAGTGCGAGCGAAGATGTTGTTGACGACGATCTATCTTCTTTTGATAATTTTCTGTCTCTTTTGCACCTACGATTGCTTTAAGCCAAGACATTTCCCACCTGGTATGTCCAATCAATAAAACGTATCTAGAAATAAGAAATTAGTTTCCGATGAATCTCAATTAATAGGAAAAGTGAGAAACGCCAAAGTGACAATGGTCGTGCGAAAGTATTATCTCTTTCGTACGTCCAAATCAAAAAAAGAGGATAAAAAGAATTCTTATATACAGGTCCTGCTTGGTTACCGATAATAGGATGTTTAGCGGCTTTCAAACGATTACAAATTAAATACGGATTTTCCCATTTGGCATTTAAAAAATTAGAGGAAACTTATGGACCGATCGTGGGATTGAAATTGGGACGTCAAAAGATCGTTACGATCTCGACTTATGATTTCGTAAAACAAGCTTTGCTTCAGGATGAATTTAATGGTCGACCAGAATCATTCTTCTTCAAGATTCGTGCCTTTGGAAAGAAAAAAGGTTTTATTTATGTTATAATTATTTACTAATTCGTAGTCGGGACTCACCGTTTGAAATTGTTTGTTAGGAGTGTTGTTCACCGAAGGTCAAACGTGGTCCCAATGTCGAAGATTCACGATGCGTCACCTGCGAACATTCGGCTTGGGTCAATCAATGATGAACAAACGATTGACCACGGAAGCACAATATCTCGTGGAGAATCTACGAGAACAGAGCGAGCACGGATCGGTGCTGATGCATAACGCCTTTGACGTAGCCGTTATCAACGCGCTTTGGACTATGTTCGCCGGTCATAGATTCGAATACGACGATGAAAAGTCGAAAGAAATATTGGAAACTGTTCATAATTCCTTTAGGTGAAAAATATTCGCTCTTATTTACTTTTCTTTTTTTTTTTCTTTTTACGATAAAAGAGAGAGAAAAAATCTTAAAAAGGATACAAAATGTTTGTTCTTCTTAATTAAAAAGGAAGAAGAAAATGTATCTTTCTTCGGGTATTTTCTTCATTACTTGAAATTCAAATGTTAAATAATAATTATTTAATTATTCGTTTAAATAGAAGAAGAAGTTTTTCGGTTGCGTGTCTTATAAGATTGTAGATTTGTCTTATAAAAATGTAGGCTAACGGATACTATGGGTGGACTTTTGTCCCATATGCCCTTTTTACGTTTCATCGCGCCGAAATGGTGTAATTACGACGAGACCATGAGCCTTCTCAGAAAGCAATGGAAATTTATCGAGGAAGAAATTACCAAGCACGAACTAGAATTGACTGATAAAGAACCGCGGGACTTGATCGAAGCTTTTCTTCTTGAAATAGCGTCACGCAAAGGGAACGATTCCAATGACATATTCGATCGTAAGTTCTAACTCTTGTTTTCTAAGGAACTACGGTCTTATTCGTGGGTACACGTTGAAAATAAAGAGAATTATTAGGCGAGAATTTATTGATCCTGTGTCTCGATCTCTTGCTTGCTGGTACCAAAACGACGAGTGACATGTTGGCGATTACAATATTATTTTTATCGTTGAATCGTCAATGGATAAAGCCACTTCAAGAAGAATTGGACAAGCAAACCGGCAGAACGCGGCCGCCAACGTTCGAGGATTTCTCATCCTTACCAATGATAGAAGCCTTTTTAGCAGAGGTAAATTATATCGTTAAGTTAACATGTTAATAAAATAATGCAAGATGCTTAAGAATGTTGTCTAATCATTTGAACAGGTACAAAGATACTTGATTATGGCACCCTTTGGGGTACCACACAAAACCATGGTGGACGTTGACTTTAATGGATATCTCATACCTAAGGTCAGATTTCAGAAAATTTGGAAAATTTTGTAAATTGGAACGTAGGAAGAAAATGTTGAAGAAGTTTCTTTCTTTTTAGGATACATTGATACTTTTCGACTATTATAGCGTTCATTATGACCCAACTTATTGGGATCATCCGGAAGAATTTAGGCCTCAACGTTTTCTCGATAAGAACGGTCAATTTTGTCAAAGCAATGCAAACATACCGTTCGGATTAGGTAATTTTTTATTTGAAATAAGATTATATGCTTTCATTGATTATCTTCTAATAACATCATTTTTAGGAAAGAGACGATGTCTCGGAGAATTACTTGCTCGTTCAACATTTTTCTTATATTTCGTCTATTTTATATATTATTTCAATTTCGATATTTCACCTATACATGACATACCCGATTCAAACGATTGCTACGATAGTTTCACTTTATCACCGAAACCGTACTATCTCAAGCTCTCGATGAGATCCGATATAAAGCACTGAAATGTACGCCACGTGGCACATGCCACCGACGATAGATTTGGACTTCTGCGAAACAGCTTGATTTCGTCGAACGCGTAAAACGACTTTTACGCGGTTGAAACAACAAACTGTATTCTAACGAAGATTTTCTTCCGAGACGCCAAACAAATGTGGCGTCGTTTAACGTTTAGAGATTGCCTGATCTTGCTTGAGTTATAAATTTACTTCAAATAAATCCAATAATTATTATTTATTATTTTTATTATCATTAGTGATTAAAATGATAATTTGTGCAGAGAGAGAGAGAGAGAGAGAGAGAGAGAGAGAGAGAGAGAGAGAGAGATGGGGGGGGGGAGATAGGAAGAGAGACAAATCTTTTTTTAATAAAAAATCCGTTTCTCCCTTGTTTTACTTGAAAATATAAATGGTTATTACATATAAGTAGATTTGGAAAATTAATCGAAATCTAATATTATCAAGTAATACGAAATCATGTTTGATAGGATAAAAATATATAACCGAGCTCGTGAACATTTTCAAAGAAAAGAAGAAAAGAAAAAGTTAAAGTTATAAGGTAAAGATTACGGTACAACTATCGTCTCGTATGGTTTTGGTGCTATCGTTAGACCTGGAATTGCTTCGACGACATAAGGCTTTTGGCCTTGTACAGGAAGTAACGCGTATTTTTGCATAATACCAACGAAGAGTAGGAAAAGAGCGGATTTTGCCAAATGTTCGCCAGGGCAACGTCTGTTTCCTAATGAAAAAAAAAGAAGTTAAAAACTTAAACCGATTCAACGATATTATTATGCGTTCGAATAATGTGGATTGGAAAAGACGAGAATAAATTTGAAGAATCGTAAGGAAAAGAAATGAATTCGTAGTAGTTTTACCCTTGCCAAAGAGCACCAAGTTCTTATCCGGTTGATAAGCGTTATCCTTAAAGAAACGTTCCGGTTTAAATTCATGCGGATTCGCATAGAAATCTGGATCCATATTGATGCTATATAAATTGATGAGGATAACGGTATTCTTTGGTATCGAATAACCTTCCAAGATCGTATCTTTAAAGGCACGTCGCGGACCTATTATTGGAGTTATTGTATACATACGTTGAACCTCGGTTATAAAAGCCTCTACATAAGGGAGCCTGTGACAATAAAAAAATTTCAGCTTTGTACAAGGCCATAAGAAATAATAATAATAAAAACTAACTAACTAACTTGATTCTATCTTCCAACTTTGGAAATTCGTCCAATTTTATCTTTGTCGTTATCTCTTCTCTTACTTTCTTTTGTATATCTTGATGAACGACCATGTGCAAAAAAAGAAAATCCAAGGTAGTGGTGGTGGTGTTAAAGCCGGCAATAAAGAGATCCAATAGTATCATCAGCAATTGCTCCTCTAGAAAAATATTGAATAGATCGATACGCGTGGATAGGAAAATGAATGATTTCTTTTTTTACCTGTAAAAATGTTTTTCGATCCTTTCTGATCGTACATCTCACGAAAGAACATATCGATTAAATTGGACTCGTTACCAGATACATAATTCTTCTTATGATCATATATTATTTCCTAAATGATAAACAAATTAAATAAGAAGGTCATTAAGATCGTTTTGTCAAAGACGAAATACACCCCTCCTACCGTTAGGAAGTTTTTCAATTCATCGTTGATTTTCACGAGAAGATTGTAACCCGATATCTCCGGTGCGATATAACGAATCCAAGGAAAAGTAGATAGAATTCCTCCAACCATGTCGAAGGCACGAGCACGTCGTTCCATCAGATCGTTAAAATATCGCAATCTATACGTAATAATATAGAAGCTTATTTTTATATTAATTATGTATCTATATAATTATATAGATACATAATTTTAATAAATACATAATTTTAATAAATATTATGTATCTACATAATTATATAGATACATAATTTTAATAAATACATAATTTTAATAAATATTATGTATCTATATAATTATATTAATTATGTATCTATATAATAGATACATAATTAATATAAAAATAAGCTTCTCTATATCTCTGAAAATATTTCAAAGGAATCGTGCAAATACGCACTTCGAAACGTCGTTGATTCGCTTTCCCGTTGTAAAAGTCCAAAGAACGTTTATGACGGCGGGTGCGATAATTTCCTTCATTATATTTATACCACCTTTTTTTAGATTTTCGATAATTACAACCAGTTCATCCTGGATGAGCTTTGACATCTCCCGTTTGCCATATCCAACAGTCTTTAGTGCTCTTACTACCCATAATCTAACATCTTTCCATTCCGTTCCATCGTTCATAGTAATACCTATATATATATATATATATAGGTATTATATATATATGATATGATAAATACAATATGTAATATAAAGATGTACATTCTGTCTCGGGCAAGAAATTATTTCGTTAATGCGTTACTCAGTAAAACTTATAATTCAAGTACCTATTATATATTCATAAACATAAATCTTTTAGTATCTAAAATTGATAAGAAAGAACAAAAATTTCTTTATCTATTACTAATAATAATGCACATACTAAGTTTTAAGCTTACCTTTCCGTATTCCCATGTTACGTAACTTAATAAATTCGTTCCAAGGACGACCATCAAAATCATCGCTACATAGTAATTTGTGAACGGTTGTCATGCCGGAAACCACAATAATGTTACGCATACCTAATCTTAACATTATTACATCGCTTTTATATCTTTGAGCAAGCTTCCAAAATGCTACGTGCTGACTACCGTGTTTACGAACCAATCGTTTCAAAAGAGATTGATTTCCAATAAACGGCCAAGAAAAGGGTCCTGAAAATGTATCGGCTTACATTTAACATTTCACAAATATGTACAATTATATTTATAATATATTAATTATATAAAGTATCAGTTATGTAAAAGCTAGTATCGGATGCGACAATATCATTCATCATACCATTAGGTACTTTCACACGGCTATCATATAATTATTATAATATCGATTAATAATATTTATACCTGGTGGAGAATTATTCTGTTTCCATCGTTGTTTATTTTTAAAGATTATCAACAAAATAATCACTATGAAAAGTAATAATACACTGACATACATTATCAAAGCTCTCTTTCTTTTCCTGTTGTTAATTCTATTTCAAGCACTAAGATAATAACTAAATGGTTCAATATAATATTAGATCATAATATTGTAAAAAAAAATATATCATCGAATAGTATCTGTATGATTTATATCACACTTTGATAAAAAAATCAATGTAGTATTCAAAGTACTTGGCTCTTTGCCCGTAACTATAATGGATGTCGAAGGTATGAAAAAAAAAAAAGTTTTCTAGCTGGCCGTATGCGGACGAATACATGTACTGGCACATACGTTAGAAATATTTATACTGTAACCATCGAAAAGAGCAGGGATAGGTCGAATGGTAGCTGAACCTCGAACCCAATAAAATGACGACGCAGTGTTAATGATGATTTCGTTAACATGTTTAGGAAAAAGATGTAAAGTAATTCATGTTTCGAACCTCGACAAAACAATAATTCATTGTTGATAGTGCTTATACTAGAATGTTAATAACAACAATTTTCGCCTGTGTTCAATCAACGTGAGACTTTGTTTAAGTTTGACCAATTGCAATAAAACTATTGTGAAAAGCTCGAAACACGAGATCTCGAATGAAAAGTAATCGAAAGTACAATAATTATATAGTATCATTATACGATAAAAGATAACGATTCGATCATTATGTAATCAAGGCGAAATTTCGAGTGTTAGCATGGAAAAGATAATTAATACTATTGGGCTTTATGGCTTATTATCTCTATAACCGAAAGAATAATATATTCCTTATTGTATTGTAAGCATAAATGTTATTTCCATTCTACATTTATACGCGTGATATCACATTAAATACATTCATTGATTAACGCGTTGACTCTAATATCGCATATATTTATTTATATTTCTTTAATTATCTCATAAGCATCTATAAGGAGAAAAAAACTGAAACAAAAGAACTTAATTATAATTTTCATTGAGATTTTCATGAAATGTAATTATACACTTTTTGTTCACTGCTCCATATATATATATATATATATACATATATACACATACATATATATATATGTGTATATATATATATATATATATATGTATGTATGTATGTATGCATATGTGCACGCACACACACACGCACACACACACACACACACACACACATCTTTACATTGACAAATCGATAACACAACAATAACGAAATTTGTTATTTCGTGAAAAAATAAAGGATAATAAGTAAATCACTTATATATTTAAAAAATTTCCAAATCGATTTCTTTTTTGAACCGTTTCCTCGATATATTTTTACCCCTTACGTTGTCCAACTTCCTCTTTTTACTTTCTTTCTTTTTTTGTTGTTTCGCAATTTTACGCTTCGCCGCTAATTCCGGATCCGTTACAAGCTGGAATAATTAATGCATTAAATATAAAAGTTTATGGCGTTTTAGTGAGGCCAGATCGAAATTTTATCGAAATTATTTTACCTGCTGCTTTCGTATCTTCCGCCGTTCTGTTTTTTTACTATCGAGTTTTTGTTGCACCTTACTAAGTAATCTCGCATATTCTTCTATTCCTATTTGTTTTTTTATCATAGAAGCTACTTCCTTTGCTAACTGGCGCAAAGGAGCATTTGATTCCTCGGTCGTAGACATTTCTCGTACCAACGGAGACATTAGATTAAAAAGTAATGTATCTAATTCTTCAATTGGTATAGTAGCCAATATACCGGCGATCCACTTGAATACTGCGCTTCTCTGAGAATAATACATTTATACATTTATACATTTTGATATATATATATATATATATATATATATATATATATGTTTCAAGCATAGAGATTAATATCTGTGTTATACGAAAGACCTACCACAGATATCGATTTAGGTGCCTGTATCACTTCTATATTTACACTTTTTCTTAATCTTCTCATTAGCCAACTAAGGGACAAGACATTACCATCTTTATTTTCATCCTCGTTATCTGAATTTACAATATTAGGACTTTCAAATGATTTCAAAATTCTTCCAAGGAAGATTAAGTTTTTTACAACTTGGTCCGCTAATTCTTCGAACATCATATCCGGCTGTAATTGTGCAATTAAGTCTAAGGACAAACTTTTTAACGTATCAACAGGATTGGAATATATATAACTCTCGATTGTGGCATGTTCTTCGGGATTCTTTATAAGTTCCACAATTTTCTTTACGTCGAGAACAGATAATATAAAACCGATCAGTTGCGTAGCTCCTAAACGAACCCATAGATGTGGATGTGCCAACAAAGATTGACTATGTTCTAAAGAAGGAAAAGATTTATCATGACAATAATATACAATTGTTAACGCATTCTAGCCTATCATTAATGCGATCATAATACTAACCGGCGAACGAAGATATTTCCTCATTGTATTTTTTATTTTTTAAAAAGCCTGGACATTGTCCCGATATTTTTAATAATAATTGCAGCACTTGATATAAGTGATGATCCTTTAATCGTTCCGGATCTTTTATATTTGAATTCTGTTTGCGTTTTTTAATCTCTTCTCTTTCAGAATGTAATTTTACATAATGACCAGGTTCTGGCTTTTTCAAGGCATCGATATTATCATGAAATTGTTGCAATAAAATAGGCAATATATTTGCGAGACGCGACTCGAAAGTTTCCTTCTCAACCACGACAAATATGCCGCATAACTGTGCGGCCAATCGCCGATGAATTATCTACAATAGACAAAAATTCTTTTCGTTTTTTTTTCTTTTACAAATTTTCTTAAAACATTTTAAAAGTCATCCGTTAAAATGATCGGCATTAGATTAAAAAATACCTGAGAGTCTTTCAGCCAGGCAAATACAATATCAAAGAGTTTGTCCCTTTCGTTGTGAGGCAATCGTATTAACATTACTTTAATACATGTCGCGCAAAGCTTTCGGCATATTGGATCGTCATCGTTTACCAATCTAGCACTAGTATTCAAAAATATAAATCCTGCACGTTTAATCAGAGATTTCTGAGAGAACAAATTTGACAATAATATATATATATATATATATATATATATATATATATATATATATATATAAAATTAGACGCGTAAAAGAATCATTTATAAGTATAAAATGTAAAAAAAATATGAAAATTTACCAACGGAAATCCTGTAATAATGCTATTGATCATCTGTAATGCACTAATACGGCCATATTGCATTTCGTAACTCAATTGAAATAAATAAAATGCTATGTGATCGTCGAGATGATTGTTATGAGGATATTCCATGAGATATGAGTAAAATACAGATCGCGATTGTAATCTGACATGTTCCAATTCCGACGTGATACTTAACGCAGCTACTTTTTTCATAACTACATCCATCTCTGGGGCCGTCAATTTTCTTTTAATTATTGCCTTAAGCAAGGCAAACGCTGTTGCTTGTTTATCGCCATCGTAAAGATCTTGTTCGGCATACAAAAGTAAAATTTTTAATTGTTCAACACTAATCGTAAAGTGCTTTACATCACGAACAAGTACTGAAACGCATTTAAAAGCTGCCATTACGAGATCAAAATTATCTCCCTTGCTCAAACCAGCCGCTGCATATTTGTGTAAAACTTCGAAGATGGAAGAGCAAATGTCAGTTATCGATTCGCGTACAGACGTTAAATCCATCTTGAGTATCCAGCTCAGGCATTGCAAAGTTAGAGTGCACAACTGTAAAAGAAAAAAAAGTTGGGGGAGAGAAAATTAGAAATTTCTCTCTCTCTTACACACATCATCGACAATATCGTGATATACATATATATATATATATATATATATATATATATATATATATATATATATATATGTAATTTGTGTGTGTGTAACTTTACCTTTACATGCTGAGACTTCAAACAGTTAGTTAAAATCGACACAAGGGGTTCTAAATAGGGCTTGAATGTCGCATCAGATATTTTTTCTCTTTTTAGAAATATATGGTACAACTTCAAACCAAATTCGACTATTACATGAACATTCGTGTTTGTTGTTGTTTTGGATGCAACTTTCATACCCATTCTATTTTTTGGTTCTGCAGGTATTATAAAACAGTCTGGCTTTTGACTTTGCAGTACTTCCTTTTCTGTCAATCTTTCATGTTTCTTTACTGCCAATAATTCTGGTATACTTTCTGATACAATCCCATACAAGAATATAAGCGTTTGTTCGAGCGGTATGAAGTTATTATCCGCTAAACCAAGGACAATGTTTTTTAAACATTCCACGACCTTTTGCACCGTTTTATGCGAATGCGTTCTCATGAGAACATCCTTCAATGGCATCATCAAATCGAGCAAACAAGATTCTGTCATATATTCTGCCAGTATGTGAAAAATATCATAGCTTTTGGTTGATTTGGCTTCTGTAACATTTTTTACAATACCTATGACTTCCTTTTCTTCTGCAGTTAATCCAAAGAGATCTATTTTGCAAACCTGTATTAAAGTAAAGATTTATAATGGAATTTTCTTTTTTTTTAATATAAAATGTTTGTTCCAATTGTATTATTGAAAAGTAAGAGACTTACTGATAAAATACTTTGCAAGTTACTATTGATATCAAATTTTTGAAAATGTGGTTTTAAAACATTTAATACAGAATGTATCGTATATGCAAGGACGTGAACTTGAAAGCCCTTCGTTAAAAGACTATTTAATTCTCTTAAAAGATGATGAAGATACTTTGGTCCCAAAGTGATCATTATCTTCTGCAACACCTCGCGAGTAACTCTCCTCACAGATTCTAGACGAGATTTCAGAAAGGTACACAGCTTCATGAAGATGCTATACAAGAATAGGACGAAGAAAAAATGTAAAAGCCATAAGTATGTATTATGGAATAATATTAATAATAAAGGGATCTTGAAAGTGTGCCTTAACACTTAACAATGAGAGATGATGCACTTACCCTGGCAGATGAGACTCCAAAATATCTTCTGGAAGTTTTTGCAATAACTTAACTAGCGCTAACGCAATAGGAACTCTCATTAAATCTTCTTCTTCCTTATCTGCTATTACTTTTTTTTTATTAATTTTGTGTATACCATCTTGACGAGTCCTTGCCGCGATAGATCTATATAATTGTGGTAGTAATCCTTTTGATATACCAGATATAACTCTTTTTGCTCCATATTGCGATAGTATAATTTGTCTTTGGAATAGAGGCAGATCTGCCTCTATTCTATCGTCATTATCTTCTACATCAACAATATTTTCATTATTCAATTCCACATCCATCCTTTCCTCTTTGTCTTCTTCATTTTCATCTTCATTCCCCTTGCCGTCGTCATCTTCTTCTACTTCTTCATTGTTAAGCTCTTTTTCACTTGCAGACAAGGGTGTTCCTTTTAGCGAAGAAACTTCTTCCGAAGGCTTGTATTTCGAAAGTTCATAGTGAAAAGAATCCAATATTGTCACAATTAGTCTTATAATTTGTTTTTGAAATTGAACATTTCTTCTTAATGCATTTAAATAATATTTTAAAATGATCTCATAGTGATACCAAGGTAAGAGTTTACATATGGTACCAATTGTTTCGATTGCTGCATCTACCATGTTGTTTTTATTTATGTAAGCTTCATTACACAAATACGTCGAAGCAAGAGGTAGGATAAATTGTGTGAGCGTTTTTGGATTTGGACGTTTAATCAATGTCTTTGATAGAGCGCAAAATTTCAATAATGCACGAGCCCTCCTATGCATTTGCAAATGTTGCATGTTTTCGAAAAAATCTACCTCGGGATCTGCTTTATTGCACAATCCTGATAAGTCACGTAAAACTGGATGTACATCGGGACATTCTAATGAC